TAAATTGGTATCCATTTGTGGGCGATTCTGTGCCTGGCTTGGAGACTGCCAGCCTAGCCCATGCAGGAGGTAAGGAGGGTGCAGCACCCCACGCTTCCCAGGATGGCCTGACTGCTGGCAGGCGGCAGTAGCCTCAAGCGTGTTTCCCCACACCCACTCCCTCCCTGTTGAAGGGCCTTGTAATTGTCAGTCAGGTAAATGGCTCCTGGGTGTGTGGCCCAGACCCATGAGGGCCATCTGGGAGGCTACCTTTGGCTACATGACCTTCAAGCTGATTGGAGAAGCATAGCGGCACCAACATCAACTATATCCTATAGAATTAGTGTTGCCCTGAATTAGCTATGCTCCCTCTGCCTGCCCTTTAAAAGGTGTGCTTGATTGTTAATAAACAGACATGTTCACCGAAACTTGTCCCAATGCTTCTTGTCTAAGAACAGCATTGCCCCACCATCCCGACAGTGTGTGGGCCTCCTAGGACGAGCCCGCCACAAAGAGTTTATGCCAACCGTTTAATAACAAATTAAAGTTGAAAGACAGCAAGCTGGGCTGGCCTTGTGGGGTTAAGCCACCACCTGCAATACCAGCATCCCATCCCAGCACCGGTTCAAGTCCGGGTCGCTCCACTTCTGATCCAGCTCTCTGCTAATGTATCTGGGGAAACAGAGAAGATGGCCCAAGTGCTGGGCCCCTGCACCCATGTGGAAGAACTAGATGGAGTTCAGGCTCCTGGCTTCACTCTGCCCAGCCCTAGCTGTTGTGGCTATTTGGGCAGTGAACCAGCAAATGGAAGATATTTTCTCTTTCTTTCTCTTTCTCTCTCTCTCTCCCTTCCTCCCTTCCTCCCCGATCTCCTTGTAACTCTGCCTTTCAAAAGATAAATAAATCTAAAAAAAAAAAAATAAAAAGAAAGAAAGAAAAAGATGGGTATGAAATGACCAAAAAAATGAAAGTCATTGATTAGGCCAAGTATGGATAGCCAGGCTCAGGGAAACATAAAATCAGCTTCATCTAAGGCCCTAAAGGAATCCTCTGTCTTCAAAAGGCTGTGTCACGACCCCAGACTGCGACAAGAAGGTCCCCATAGCATACCCGGGGTGGGGGATTCTACTGCAGCCTCCTCACTTTCCAGACGGAACCACCGAGGTCTAGAGGAGGAAACAGACTTGTCCCAGGTCCCATATGAATTAAAGTAACTGACACGACTCAGGAGCGAAGTCTCTGGAGACGCCGCTGAGCGGCCTTCCCACCAAATCTCACCAGGTCCTTTATTAGAGGGGCTGTCACTCCGCCACCGACAGCCACTGCAGCCCAGAGAAAGGCCACCAACGCCCATCGATGTGCAGGACACGCAATAGTAACACATTCAGATTAAAATGGGAAAGCTGCATTTATCTCCCTTACACTTAATTGTGCTTGTTGGTAGGACAACATTGTTGCAAGTAAATGAACACAAACCAACTCCGAAATAAGGATAGAAGCGTCTTTAAGATATTCAAGTCATTTTGAAAACATGCTGTTCCAATCAAATCTAATCCTAAATAACAAATCAAAGATGTTTTGCAAGAGAATGCTTATTGAATAATAATGAAACCCATCGAAGACATTCTCATAAGAGCTCAAACTTTATGGAGTGTGGAGTAATCAAAACAGCATCTACCGCCCAGAGGGGTTTTCTGGGATAGTGGACATTTGTGCAAAGATGCTAACAGCATAAAATAGTATACGTCAAGACCATAATGTCAGTCTTGGCACATAATAAGCACTGAACAAAGGATATTTTCCTATCTTGTGTTAAGGAAACTAAGAATCAAACACATAATTAGTAACTACTTATCACAACACTTTCCTCAAAGTCTGTCCTAGAGCCCTGAAAATCTTAGGGTACTACACCGGAATGCAACTGGGTAAACAGTGTGACTGAAGAACCCACAGAGACATAAATTTCCACTTAAAGATACATTCAGAGGCAGGTGTACAAAGGAGCAGTTTAGCTACAGCCACTGCAGGGACACAGCATCACACATGCCACAGCAGAGTGCCGGGGTTCCAGTGCTGGCTCCACTGTCCATTCCAGGTTCCTGCTACTGCACCCCCTGGGAGGCAGCAAGTGATGGGCTCCAATAGCTGGGTCTATGCCACCACCTGTCGCTCCCCCTCTTCGTGGAGGAACGACACAGGACCCTGCGCTGTTCTTTCGTCTGCTCGGCCCTCCCCGGGTTTGCTGCTGGTTCTTCCCGGGTTGGCTACTATCCCTTCCACCTCCGTGGAAGGGCAGTTCCCCCGGCCACATTCCCCACTTCCGCAGGGGAGCGGCACACCGCCGGCCGGCTCTTCTCGGGGGCTGCACAGGTGTTCCTTCAGCTAGATGTTCCCCTTAGATGTTCCCCATAGATGTTCCTGGTGAATGCCGTCTCTCTCCTCCTTTATAGTCCTCCTCCGCCAATCCTAACTCGGCTGCCCACACGCCAAGCACGCCGCTCTCCTCCAATCAGGAGCAAGTCCTACAGTTTATTAGTTGAACTGGAGGCAGCTGTGCGGAAGCTGTTTACTTCTCTCCCAGCGCCATATTGTGGGAGAGCAGATGCATAGAATAAGTCTTAATTCCAGTAACTCAGTCCAGTCCGGGCTGCTCCCCACAACCACCCACATGAGATATCCAGATGGAGTTCCAGGCTCCTGGCTTTGGCCTGGCCCAGCTCTGACTGTTGCAATCATCTGAGAACTAAACCAAGGGATATATCTTTCTGTCTCTGTCTTTTCTTGTCTTCTGTCTGTCTGTCTCTCTGCCTTTCAAGTAAATAAAATTTTAAAAAATTTTAAAGACACATTTAGAAAATCCAGTAATCACCACTTTACTATTCTAATATTTTGGCAAGGCTTTCAACGTCAATTCCTACTGTAAAAGAAAAATAGAAGAATTCAACGCAGCTGTGATATGGTGGCAAGAAAAACTTGTAAAAAAATAAATAAAAGAAACCTCAGACACTGAACAGTTAAAACATGACAAAAAGAGTAACAGCTTCAAAATATTTTGTCTGTACATGTGCATTCTTGGAATATTTTGTAGTCAAATGATTTTGTAGCCGGTATCCACCTTACACCTCCCCACCACCAAATGTAAATGCGACCCTTTGACACATTAGCTCCTCAGCTTGTCTACGGTAAGGAAGTTTCAGAAAGCAAGCTCATGCTGGCTCCTGGGAGGTGAACTGTTGGAAAGCATCCACTCTGAGATGGTGCCACAGAAGACACAAGCCCCTCCCCTGGAAAAGGACCTCAGCAGTGGAGTCCTTTCCCAAAGGCCCTGGGCAAATATAGATAAAGACACAATCGCATTCCTGTCTCCAGAGTCCCTGGGCGACATCTGGGGTCAACAGGACACCCCTGTGGACATCCTGTATGTTTCTGTTCCTGCCCCTGCCATCAGCCCAGGGTGTTCTGCCGCCACCTGTGTTCTCCCAGCGTTGTCCCCTCCACCCCCCACAAGGTGGCCCCTGTCCTCCTGACAAACGTCACTCTTCCCAGAACCATGCCGTATTTCTAGTACTCTGGAAGTTCTGATACACCCCTGTTGAACAGACACGGCTTCCAAGCTGCGAAACGAAAACAAGGCTGCTCCCGCTGGTCAGAAGGAAATCCTCCTCCCAGGGTTCTGTCTGTTCCTGAAAGGCTGGCTCCACAAATTCAGACATTCCTAGTGATCATTTGAGGACCACATGGGAAACATAAATCTGTTATGGGGGGCGGGATCAAAGATTTAAGATAGCAAAATCCAGAAATGACAGATAAGGATGCCACTGCTTCTTTCTTCAATCGGTGAAATATTAAAACAAATGACAAAACAATGCCAGCCTCGCAAAGTTTCCTCATTTCTTGGCATTCCATGGCAACTGCTGGCATCGTTTTGTGATAATTCTATAGGTATCTGGCTTAAGTCATCGAGCCCAGCATCAAGCTGGGGACTGAGCAACTTCACCGAAACCGTGCGTCCTAGCGCCGGCCTTATCTGAGCTTTTCGGACTGGCCTTACCCCCCCCCCTCAACTCGGCCTCCCCATCCACCCACGGACCAGTGTGCCAGTCGCAGCTCTAAACCTGCACCCCGCTCGTCCACACCACACTCACAACTCGAAACCTGACTTCTGCAGGCATCGCTGTGTGAATTCGAGTCCCAGGATCCCTATCAGGGCCCTCTGCCCTGACCCCGGGGTTCTAGGTCACGTCTCTGAGGCCGAACCCACCTTGCATTGTTTCCACGGGATCCCGCTTCCTCCCTCCGACCAGCTCTGTTTGCACGGCATGGATGTCATTTCTGGCGTTCAACCCTCCATTCCGCCCGGCGGGCAGCGGAGGGGCTGGGAGGACCCAGTGGCCAGCATCCCCGCCTGGGTGCCCCCGCACAGCCATTTTCTACTTCAATGCTCTCTCTGCCTCCGAGGGGGAAAAAAGAACTTTTCCCCCCTTTTACCTCTCAGCGGCTGATCTCTGAGCCCCCACCCCGAGAAACCAGCCGCGCCTCCAACTCCCCGGCAGGAGCGCGCCGCCGCACCGCGGAGGCCGGCGCCCGGGCCAGGGGGTGTGCGCGCTTCCCCGTCGGCGCTCGCCCTCACTTTGCCCCTCCGCAGTCCCCGAACGGCGCAGCCCTCTCCCCGGTCTCCCCCGCCGCGGGCCCTGCCGAGCCCGAGCTGCCGAGTCTACGAGGGCGCTGGGAAGCAGGAGGGATGGAAGTCGAGGAGCCCGCAGCCGCCGTGCCACCACCGGCCCTGCAGCGCGGGCGCAGGGCGCACGGGACTCCGCAGCGGGCGCCCGCTGCAGATGCGGGGGCAGCTGCTGCAGCTGTGGCTGTGGCTGTGGCCGCGCAGCCCTGGGGCCGGGAGCAGAGCGGCAGCCGCAGGGGAACGCGCAGCTCCCTTCGCCGCTGCCGCTGCCCGGCTCGCCCCTCAGCACTCCCGGGCCGCACGGGGGTTCGGGGCCAAAGGCAAGGAAGAAAGCGGAGCTCACCAGCAGTGCGCGCGGCGCTCGCCTCGGCCCCGACGCCCGGCGGCTCTGCTCCAGTCTCGCCCTCCCGGGAGCGCCCGGATCAGCTGCGGGTGCAGCGCGCGAGCTTCCTACTTGAGACCAGCACGGGCTCCGGCGACTGAGCATGCCCAGTGCGGCTCCGCGAGTCCCGCGCAGGGAGCGGCGCCGGCCAGATTCCACTTCTCCAGGCTTTGGTGGCGGCTGCGCGAGGAGCGGCGGCGGGGGGCGGGGGGCTCGGGGAGGGGGAGCGGCGGGGCGGGGGCGGGGCCGGGGGCGGAGGCCGCGGCGGAAGGGGGCGGGCCGCGCTCCCAGGGCGACCCCTGCGGGTGGAGGCACGCTCCCGCAGTCGCCTGGGAAGACCGCACCGAGGCCACGCGTGCCCGGAGGGTGAGCCCCAAAGGCTGGCCGGTAGCGGTGCAGCCTGGCCATTCCCTGTTGCCTAGAGCGCGCGCCCCAGGGCAGCAGAGAAGCCTTTGCCCCAGGTCTTTTTTCCCACGTCTGCATCCCCGTTCCAGGGGGAACATGTCCCCTAGGGAGGGCTGCCCACACCCACCCAGGCTGGCCCCAAGTTATGCGACAGACTTTCTCCTGCCTGTGCCTCCTGTGGCCACCCCAGAGCTGGCTCTCTCTCTCTCTCTCTTTCATTCTTCGATGCAAAAATCACAGTAAGATGAACCAGGGACAAAACACACCTGCAGGTCAGGAAAAGCCTAACTTCCCCTTTCACCCCCAGTGACACCTATAATTCGATTTGTAACCCGGCCAGCAAGACCCTAGGAGGCATGGACACTCCCTAAGTGGAGAACGGGGTAGTGCCCTCCGAGACGCGGCGAATGACATCCCCCCAGCACCTGCAAGAGGAGGCCCTGGGGGGCAGAGCCACCTGCCAGCGACTCTGAGCCCCCCGAATGGGCGGGGCCCAGGTATCTGCGACGCTCGCCCCTTCCCAGGTGGGCTGGTGCGGCCATTCGGGGAACGGTGAGAACGCCAGACACGCCCGGATCCCCGCAGGCAGGAGGAGGACCCCGCAGACACAGCAATGGCTCTCCGTACACGTGACTTTAAAAGCCGGGGACTCTGCCTCCGTGCAGTTGGCAGCCCAGCGCGGTGACAGCCTGCCATCGAATAATCACTCAAAGCCCCCACGTCAAGCCGGGTGGAAGGGACTCTGACAGGGACGCGGGGGCGGCGCCGCCTTCCGGAAGAAGGGGTTCCGGCGTCTGCGCTCCCGTAACCTCTCCCGCGAACGGCGGCTTCGCTCGGACCCGGCTGGACACGAACACTGCGTCGCCCCCTCCTGCGGCAGACAAACATTGCTGCCACCGAGCGATCCCTCGGAAGCCACGGAAGCGGCCGCCCTTGCGGCTGAGTCTCCGAGCCCCAAATCTGCTTCAGGGGCTTGTGGACCGTGGGCAGTGGCTGGCCGCCGCTCAGCCCCCTTGGGGACAGCGCAGGAGAGCCGGGCAGTTGCAGTACGCGACCTTCGGGCCCGGGGATCGTCCGCCTCCAGCCATCCGGCTCCAGTCCCTCGGACCGCACCGCGCCCAGCGGGTTCCCGGAGCCCCCGCCCTGCCGCCCTTCTCTCCCGAGGGTCCCGGGCCGGTGAGCGCCCGCCCCTCCCGGCTCCGGCCCTGTCCGAACCCGAGGAAAACCCGCGGTGGAGTCCTCGGCGGCGGGGCGGGGCGACCTGCGCAGGCGCGGTGGCCGCCAGGTTGGGCCCAGGAGGCGCCCGGCTCCACACCTGATGCAATCAGCCTCCCGGAAACGGGCGCGGCCGCCGCGCTCACCCAGGAAACGCTTCCGCGCCCGGCTCCGGCCGCCGCGCCGCACGCCGGACCCGTTCTGCACCCCGCAGGGGATCGGCTGCATACGTGGGGAAGTCACCCTCTGGACAAGCAGAAAACCCTTGGACGCTCCGAACAGCACCGTGGAAACGGCGCCCGAGCGCTCGCAGGCTGCGGGAGCAAATTCCCGTCATGCTGTCTTTGCAGAGGGGCGGCCACCTCTGACACTGGGGTTCCGTCTCTGGCGCGCACCGGCACACCGACAGCGCGGTGTCCCGGCACCGCCGAGCCGACTCCCGCAGACCCTCGCTCCCGGCGCACCGAGCCTCGCCCCGCGCGCTATTACAAACAAGCCACCGCTTTCTCTAAAGCGCGTCATTGCAGTTTGCAAAGAAAATCAACCACCTCATGCAGTTTTGATATCTGTCGTGAGTGGGTGTTGGCCTCCGTGCTGACTCACCCACGCACTGTTTTCCAAGGAAATGAAATATTCCAAGAGCGTGCTGGTTAACGCAGGGAAGCCAGCGCTGTGAGCAGGATAGAAAAATCACCTGCGTCCTTTAAGGCCAAACACCCTCCTCCTCGGGCGCACGGGCAAGGAGGGACTCGAGCAATTGTAGTGGGAGGGATGCTTAACACGCCATTAGAATGAGTCTGGATCAACGCTTAGAGTTTAAACATTACCTCCCTGTGGCCCAGAGGCCGAAACGACTTTTCCTTGCTTAGACAGATCAGGGGCAGCTCGACATTTGAACGCAGCTTAATGGAAATTCCAGTCTCATGAATGTATGTATAGCACGAGTCTACATATACTTGGACAAACGCAATAGGGAGTCTGTGACAACGCTGTTTTCTTTCCAAAGGTTACAAAGTACAAAATTGGTGGCAGCAAAAGGGATACTTTTCCTACTTCTGAAGTCATTAGCCTTTAAACCCAGGGAGTTATCCTGCCCGAATGCCGCGTCTTAAGTCTTGGTGCTGCTTCCTGCTGACCCACCTGGGAGGCAGCAGGTAATAGCTCAAGTGTTCCGGACCCTGCCGCCCACGCCCACGGGGGAGACACACATGGAGTTCCTGGCTCCTGGCTTCCTCCTGGTTCAGGCTTGCTATTGCAAACATAGGGAAGCTCTCTCACTTTCTTGCTCTCTGCCTTTGAAGTAGGTAAAAATAAATTTTAAAAACAAATATTTAAGTAGTCTTGGATCCACAACCTATCCTACCACTTCTAAGATAGCCAAAGACTAGACATTTAATATTTCATTTAAAGTGCTATAAAATCTTTCAAGCCAACTTGTGTGTGTGTGTGTGTGTGTGTGTGTGACTTCACTTGGAAAAAGAGAGAGAGAATGGTTCACAACAACAGTCAGGGCTGGGCCAAGCTGAAGCCAGGAGCCAGGAACTCCACCCAGGTCTTGTACATGGAGGGCAAGGACCCCAGTATTTGGGCCATCATCTGCTACTCCCAGGGTGTGCATTAGCAGGAACCTGGGAGTGGAACCCAGGCATTCTGATAGGAGATGAAACAAGTGACATTTGACTTCAGTCTTTTTTTTTTTTTTTTTTTTTTTTTTTGACAGGCAGAGTGGACAGTGAGAGAGAGAGACAGAGAGAAAGGTCTTCCTTTGGCGTTGGTTCACCCTCCAATGGCCGCCGCGGCCGGCGCACTGCGGCCCGCTGATCCGATGGCAGGAGCCAGGAGCCAGGTGCTTTTCCTGGTCTCCCATGGGGTGCAGGGCCCAAGCACCTGGGCCATCCTCCACTGCACTCCCTGGCCACAGCAGAGAGCTGGCCTGGAAGAGGGGCAACCAGGACAGAATCCAGCGCCCCAACCGGGACTAGAACCCGGTGTGCCGGCGCCGCTAGGCGGAGGATTAGCCTAGTGAGCTGCGGCGCCGGCCCTGACTTCAGTCTTAACCTCTATGCCAACCGAACTCCCAACCCCAGGCCAAAACGTAGACCCTCCAGTATTTTTATTTCATCATTTAATGTATGAACTATTTGAGGTTAAACCAAAGGAATTGCAATGATCACAACAAAGTCTCAGGGTCATGATTTACTTCTGTAAAGATTTAAAAGACTTCAATATAGAAATCAAAATGAAATACAAGAATAACTACGAAACTTGTGCCTGCAGTTGCATACGTATATATAACTCTTCAGAACTCTATCACCTTTTTATCTTGGTGAATGTGTATTTCTTTTTAGAATGTTCTGACATTTGGAGATCTGGGAAAATACCTTCTACTTGTGCAAAAATAGAGTCAAGTAAATGTCAAAATAGAGAGGTCCAAAGCATAAACTCATTACCGTGTGCTGGTTATAGAGTAGCTAACTTTCCCCGTGTTCCCCACGTGCCACACGCTGGCTGAGTGTTTGACACAGGTTATTCTACTTAAGCCTCACAGCTACCCCTGGGACACAGGTTCAGTGTCATCCCCATCTTACCGCCAGGGAAAGGGAGGATTGACAATACGAAATAACTCACCGCACAGCATGTTCAGTGGCAGACCCTGGGATCTGAACCCAGTATTAACAATACTCCACCTGCAGCACCGGCATCCCATATGGGCACCGGGTTCTAGTCCCGGTTCCTCCTCTTCCAGGCCAGCTCTCTGCTGTGGCCTGGGATAGTGGTGGAGGATGGCCCAGGTGCTTGGGCCCTGCACCCCCATGGGAGACCAGGAGGAGGCACCTGGCTCCTGGCTTCAGATCGGCCCAGCTCTGGCCGTTGCGGCCATTTAGGGAGTGAACCAACAGAGGGAAGACCTTTTTCTCTGTCTCTCCCTCTCACTGTAATTCTACCTCTCAAATAAATAAATACAATCTTTTAAAAAAAATCTATTCCTGCAGAAAATGTATTGGACAGAGCTGCTCAGGCCTCTGTCTCCTCAGCGTAGGGCCTTATCTGTCTTCTTGCTGCACTGTTTCTCATAGGACTGTTTCCATGGCCCACCTCCCCCTAGCTTCAGTCCTATTTTTCCAAATTAAAATTATTATCAGAGTATAGAATGCCATCATGGAAAAACTAAGGGGTTTTGGATTAAGACCGTGGCAAGTTACTTAACTTCAGCGAAACTCAATTTTCTTATCTGTCAAATGGGCATCCTAATCATGGGTTTATTTAGGACTAAGCAAGATGACACATGTAAAGCTTCCAGTAGGCATCACGTGGGATGGCTTCCTTCCTTCCCTCCTGTCTCAGCTGTGACATCACCAACTAGTCAGGTTTCTCAGAAATCTCAGTCATCTTCAGTTCTTCCTTCCCCTTCACCACCCACATCAAATTAATCATCAAGCCCTGCTGCTCCCACCTCTGGGGCGCCTCTCCCATCTGAGCCCTGCTCACCGTCGCGGCTCCCATGGCCCTCGTGGGCTTGGCGTGCACTTTCAGCATCCGGGCACCTG